GGCCGTCGTACGGCCGGATGGTCGCCGATGTCTCAGCAGTCGGAGACGAGAAGACAGCAGGCGGATTGGCGAGGGTAGAGAGGTAGGCGCGCTTGGCTACGAAGATCATTAGTATTGATGGCGAATATACATATATTGAATCATCGACTGACCGACTGTGGGGTCGTTAAAGACGATGAGGAGAGAAGTGTCGTCAATCCACTTTATCTTGAATCCTCCGGGTTGGGAGTCAAAGTCGGCGAAGGCGGCCTGAATGTCGCGCGTCTTGAGCTCCTTGGGGAAGCCGGTGAGGGACAGGATCCTCGTCACGGACGCAGAGAGCTGTGCAAGCGCGGTGGCCATTATTAAACAACGACTAGCGTTTTCGACAGAGAAGACAGGACGAGAATTCAGAGAACCACGATGGGCGTTAGCAGACAAGCATCACCCGCTGGCCGTCATAGCACCCCGGCCACGTGGGATCGCCTCGCTTGCCTCCGGCTCCGATTCACGACTCTTTACTCTGGAAATGTACGACGAGTACGAGGCTCAGTTCCTGCACAAGGCCTGGCAGATCCTCCAGGACATCTCAGACCAGCTCGCGCACAACAACCAGTTCGCCGGCTCTCTCCGCCAGCATGCCGAGCGTCTCAAGGGCGACGCCACTCAGTTCGCCCAGGGCTTCCCGTTAAGGCGATACAATGTCGACCTTACCAAAGGTACGGTGACACCTTCCCTTGTCGTCACGCTAGGTCTCGTCATTGAGTACCCTCTCAGAAACCTTCGAATCCGACCTCGAGCGCGCGTCCGCTCAGTTGATCGTCGAAAACCACGGTCTGAGCCACGAGAACGCCCAACTCGGGCATTTACTCAAAGAGTTCGAGCACACGCTGGAAACCGTCATGCAGAAGTTCCGTGCACACACTCAGGCCGCAACTATACATGAGCAGGCCTTGTTACAATATTATGAGCGGCGTCTCGAGTTGGCGGCAGCGGCAGCATCCCCGCAACCCGCATTACCGCATCCTGCGCATATTGCCCGCCTCGCCCGTACTATTCGGACCACTTTAGCTGCTATCGATGGCAAAGAACCCGACGAGCTACCCGATGAGAGGATAGACTCTGGCATCGAGATGCCGGCGATCGTGATTGACACAGGCGTTACTGGCTATCCGCCAAATCCCTACCCGTCTACGGCTATCCCCATAGATATCTCCCCCGCATCACCGGCCCCGCCAGCCTTCGTACCTTCGCACTCGCCCATACCACCGCACGCTCTCCCATCGTACTCCCCCGCACTGGCCTCTTCCAGACCTGCGCCTGCACGTGCACCTCGACCAAAACCTGAGCCCGCGCGACAAGAGGAACAGGACGAGGAAGATGATGAGGCAGAAGAGTCCGACGATGCCGACGCCGACCCATTGCCCTGGCATCTCGCCCGCGAGGCCGAAATCACGCGGCTACGCGAGGAGAATGCGCGTCTTCGTTCGCTTCTCAAGATCGACGAGACTTCGCTCTCAGAAGCTGGGATCCCCGACCCTGCCCCGCCACCGTTACATCGTTACGGTGGCTCGCTTTCCGGCGGATTGGTAGTTGCTGCGCCCTGGGCGAACGGAGCTGGAGGTGATCCATGGGGCTCTGACGGTGGGAACATGATGGGAGGAGGGATGGGCATGGTTCGACCGGCGCAACCGCAAAGCATACCGCTTACTCAGATGCAAGCGATGTTGGCGCACCAGGCTCAGCTGCAGGCACATCGGGCTGCAGACTTTCAGGCGCAGCAAATGGCCCAGGCGAACCAATTTCATCAGCAATTGCAGGTTCAGGGTTTCCCACAGAACCAGCAAGCTGCGCAAGGACAATATGGACCAGGGAATGGGCAGGGACAAGGACAGGGATTCTTGCGCGCTGGCTCGTTTGGAGCGGGTAGAGGCACGAACGCGAGGAGGGGTTGGATGGGTTGAGGTGTTTGGCTTCGAGAGTGAACCTGATACTTTCACTGTTGATATGTTCTCTTGACTTTCCTGTTTATCGCAATTATATCGTTCCCACACGTCGACTCTCGTGCAAAGCTTACATCTGATCATTGACCCATTGCCAGCAGAAGGAGTACATCGAAGTATTAGTACATACAGTCCCAACACACTGCGTGCACCCTCACACTGTACTCTGACAGCTGAACGAATACATAATAAAAGTCCACATGTACCCGTCCGGATTGTCGTCGAGTACCTTCTCCAGCGATACTTCGACGCCCGACTGTTCGGGCATTCCGCGGAGCCACTCGCGCAGGGGCCGAGCATCGTCGTGTATGATGCTGTCCGTGTCGGCAAGTAACCGGGCGTTGAGTGTGCTTTGCGCGTGAGGGGCTCCCAGGGTCGAGTCAGCAGCCCGTTCGGTGAGGCTAGGGATCCAGGCGCGTAGGACGGTCTCGAAAGTGCGCATGATACCATCAACGCTTCCTGATCGATCCATCTCATCGATATATATATATTTGAGAGATATAACGCGCAACGAGTCCAATAGAATCGTGGATATGGCGCTGGATGCGTTTTGCAATGTAAGGATCTCTAGGTAAGGGAGAGACAGTCGCTGCATGGGAGAGCGACATTCGCCTTCGCTTCGAAGCACCATTTGCAAAGATAGCTTGTGAAGGGATGCATTGTGGGAGAGCACTTCAAGGATCGTGTCCAGTGAGGGCTTGTTCTCATCGTTCCAGTCATATAGATCGATGTCAAGTGTGATCAGCGTGTTCAAAGCTGGGGGACGCATGTAGGCGTTTCCCAAAGTGAGGAAGCGCAATTTCGGATGGTCGGCCATGTCCATGATAGGGGGTACAGAATCGAGTTGTCGTCTCGTACTCGCAGAGAATACGAGAGTCTGAAGGTAAGGCAGCGGTTCCGCAGAGAGTATGTTGATAAGCGCCAACGCTTCCTCTGGAGTAAACGTGTTGTAGTATATCCTCCAAGCGCGCAGTATCAGATGTTCATAGTCTTGAATGGGGATATTGATCGGGCCATCATGGTACACGAGGTCGACGTTGAGTGGCGCCTTCCCGGTCAGAGGAAGAAGGACACTGGCCCCTTGCCCTTCTCTGAACCCGAATAGGTCGTTGGCCCACAGCGAAGGCATGTCGAAGACGATTCGACGCCATCTTCGACATACTTGACCAAGCCTCAACCAGGTCTTTTCAGCGTCGACGAAGGCGCGATGAGCGCGGTGTTTGTCGGCATCGTACAGAAGGATATCGCGGATGAGTTCTGTTGGCAGACGCATGATAGAGACAGACATGTTGAATCTCTCGTTCTTCAATGCAGAAAACCGGTGAAGGCGGTCGCGATGGAGCCGGAGGGCACCCTCTAGCCTGGCGACGGAGTGCTTAAGGAGAGGGATCGCCGTTTCGATAGCATCCTCTGCCATATCCGCTTCTAGAGCCAGTTTCGATGCTCTCTCTGCCTCAAGAATATGTTCTATGTCTTCTGACTCGACCGCCGGCCCATCTGCACCGCTGTGACGGTAACTTGAGTGTCTGTGAGAACAGACTATCGGATTACATACCTGCCATCCAGTGGGAGAAAACTAGGAAAGTGTGATATCATTGATGATATACGGCCAAGCTTTGGTATATCAATGAACTCGGAGGTCCAATCGAGAGTCGTCCTCTGCGTGGTGGTGGTGTCTTGCCAGGCCGCTTTGCGCGGCGTCCGCAAGTCTCGCGTCAAGTTCGGCAACATCCGCTCATACCGTGCCATGATGAATGAACTTCACTGAGTAGCGGCGATTCACGATGCGGCACTGCCGCATTCATTCTTTTCACACAACTATGCACAGTGCTCCTAGATGCACTGGTGCGACCGGTAGCGATGATGTTTGGTTCATCAGCCTGATGATGTGGACCGTTTGGGTCACTGGCGTCGCCAAGTGGCAAGGGGTTCGCGATGGTATTTTGATTCTCGCGCTTGTTTCTGAGTGGGAAAGAGAAACATCATACACTGTGAGTCTATGCATACTCTGTATTCTCCTATAGCACTGCTGATCGATAGCGTCTGAACATCGAAGGAGATTCTGAGCTAGCGTAGGCTCCTCGACCGATAGCTCGGTGGGCTCGTCGCACGATCCGCACCTCCCAACCGCCATTCATACTCGTCTGCGTCTCCCGGTGGCATACCAGTGACGCGCTCGTGTAGTATTCGCGCAAGATGGCGTGTCGGTATGCGTTCAAAGAACGTTTCAGGTGACGTGACCTCGTTATCTGCATGAAGACTCGTATTCGTGTCGAGTCTATCCAACAAAGCTGTAAGACTGTAGTTCGCACGAGATATGCAGGACACCGACCGTTCGCGTTCTGCAAAGTGAACCTCTGAGTGTGCAACAGGTATGGGCGGCCCTTCACTATCTGACCGAATCCCGTCGCGAAAGTCTGAGCGCTTGGTACGTGGCGCTCCGCCTGAGCTGAGCAAACCTGCATCACTGGTATCCGCCTGTAGTACAGTGTATGGTTCAGGAACAAAGCCAGGAAGCTTCTCCTTAGAAGTGGCTGTCTCTATGCGACGTGAATGCCGGCGTCGTCGTCTGCACAGAAGAACCACAAGTATGACCAAGACAAAGGCAACGACACCGCCACCAATCCCACCAGCTAGAGCAGCGGTAGGCGGGCCATTACTCGTATGCGAACCTGGTGCGCCAGTGGATATGGGTTGAGTGGAGGCGGGTGGGCTAGCGTGCGCAGATAGTACTTAGTAATACGCGGTTTGCCAAAGTCAAATAGTGTTTACATCGCTGTTGCTTTCGAAGGCGGGGGGAGGCCTATGGCCAGGTTTAAGGCTGGAATGGCTTCCACTTGATAGTATACGTTGAAAGCGCCTCCTAGATCTCCGTCATGAGCGGTCCACATCGAACTGTACGTCTGGTTATCTGGGTTGATAGCAAAATCTTGCAATGCATTGAACTATGAGAAGTATTGTGAGTTATTGCACGCAAGATCGTCGCTGAGGAATCTCACCTGAACATTCGCATACGCCTGTATGTAGTCTCTAATTGTCTGGTTGGTAGTACGAAGAAGGGTATCCATGAGGCCCGCAAGATGACCGCCACGCCCGATCAAGTACGGAGGACGATCGTCTGATAGAATGCCGTCTACGGAGAGACCATAAGTGGTCGCGCTGAGGAGCGCCTGCAGATGTCTGGGCAGTCATGAGTTGATGTAACTCGGGCGAAAGTAGAGAAACTTCCTGACTGCTCTTGTATCGTCGTCTCCTCCGTGAGATTTGCATAGGCGCTCAATGCCTCGACGTAGACTCCCGCGCTTGGACTGCCTGCGTCAACAGGTGCACAATCAGTGAAGTTGTGTGCCGCATCGGTATATATAGGTGAGGCTGGATCTTGTTTGTTCCCCGCGGTTGCGTTGTAGACAAGAATGCTGTGAGCAAACGAAGTCTGCGCGTCCACAAGCTTGAATCCTGTGTGTGTGATGTAGCCGTAGATTGTAACGCCGTCCTCGAATAGTGCGTTTGTAGTGCTCAGGGCCACGTAAGCAGAAAGACTGACAGTCGTAAGAGATTACGCGCGAGCGTGATGGTCGAATGCGTGCTTACGCCAAGAAACCACTGTGATATTGAGATATGAGGGGACGGTTGGGATAGGAGGACATGGGAAACACGTACGCCCAGTCCGAGCTTTGTACCCAACCATATTGGATAAGATGAGATGTCGACGATGCGTTGCCGAAGAGATACTGTGAACAAAAGGGTGCCTTGAGTTTGTCGCTTCAGTGAGGAAGCGATCGGGAATACAGGGAGTATGGAGTTGGCGATGCCAGGTTGGACTATTGAGAACAATTGAGACAAACAGCAACGTCTCTGGGATCAACGACGCACCACATTGCGCAACGGCACTTTGAGCTCCTGGATAGCTTGGCGGATCTAGTGGACCGAACGAGGTAGCGTTTTCAACGGTTTGTTGCACTGTGCGGGCAACGTCGAGCATTGTGGAATCATTATACGCTCTATATGCATAAACTGCGGCCAAGCCGACTTGGCTACAGCGATCATCAGCCATTGATCAGAAAGGTAGGTTGGCAGGCGCACTTGAACGTCTCGGTCATCAAATCACTCTGGAGTAGACTCTCAGCCTCTTGTGTGCGACGTGAACGGAGACAATAATGTGGTTCACCCTGGCCCCTACTCTGTGAGCCAACTATAGAACCGCACGTAAACCAACATTCTCACAGTTCAACTCCAAGGATGGTGCCTGTGGGCAAGTTCGTCGCGCTGTTGGGTGCAGGCGGAGAAATTTCCACGGCTCTTTTCAGAGCATTCGTCACGAAGCTCTGGTACACATTCGTGCCCGCTAAGAGGTCATGCATGGCACTGTATCGAAGCATTGACGCCCCGTGTCGCGCCGACTCAATCGTGCTATTGTGATCTATAAAAGCTGCCACGCGTCGTCAGTCTCCGAGGCATTGGAGGAGCAGAAAAGTAGCGCGCACTGTCATCTGACGAGGCCGAGTCGCTGAAGCTATAGAGTCCGGCGCCTGAGTCGTAGAAACTATTGCAATAGTCTATCGCTCGTCGGGCAATTGCTATCCTTTCATCCCGGGATAGCGTCGCGTTCGATTTCTGGGTGAAGCATCAGATGGGGTGATGCGCAGGAGAATATGCACCCACCCTCCACGTCCCCGGCACGGTGAAGTCTTGTGCTACAACAACGGACGGCACGATGGCGAGGCTGACGGAGGTGATGTGCATGTAGTCTGAGGGCTCCTTGCGGGTGGGGAGTTCGCAGCAGCTTATGGTGACCCAAACCTTCAAGTAGCGTTCAATCGCAATTCATCACACGGAGTGCCTCCAAGGGCCTTCCAGCGCGCGTTGCATACTATACAGGATCAGGCGCAACTCTTCTAATCATGCGCTCTGCACCCGAATTCTCCCCACATGTCCATTGCACCTCCAAAAGCGGGTCGAGCGCCCATGAAGGCGATGCAGAACTTTCCCTTTGCACCGGCCCGGAATGGATTGTATCCTGGAAACGCATCAGCGGAACGTTGAGAAGTGACACAAGCGGGAGATGGCATCGGGAGGTAGCCGGCTACGTATATCACGGTCAGTAGCCACGCAGGTGAGTGTGAATGCGTCTTCTCGGATGCTGTTGTGATCCAGTTTTGGCAGGTAATTCTGTCGGACGTTAAGATTCACTCGGTATAGCTCGCGGTAAGACGTCAACATGGTGAGCGATATCAGCATCGCGCGCTGCTGAAATGAGGATATCCAAATTCGAAGGAGAACATAAAAGGGATTACTATTACAGAAGGAAAGCCGAAACTTGAATGCGGGGATGATAACATGAGATAAGGTCAGGGCAGAAGGAACTCGCACGAGCTGTCCGAAGTAGATGCGGAGAGTAAGGTCGCGAGACGCCATGAAGACACCAGGCAAGCATCTGCGTCTAACAGTTGCACTGCTCGCCGGAGGGCGTGGTTGTCTTCGAGTTGAGATCGACGCCAGCACGGCCCCCTGCCGGCCCAGTACGCGCAGCGGCTCCTCTTGCCGCGGGAGGGGAAAGAGTTGGCAATTTCTTCGCTGTATATCCCCTCAACCTTCAGTAACATGGTTCTACTTGCGTTTGTATAGTACATACCAATGGCTGTAAAGATGTCCGCAACGCCCTCGCCGGTTTTGGCACTCGTCTCGGTCCACATGAGGCCTTCCTCGTCCGCGTACTTCTGCGCCTCCTCCTGACTGACTTGGCGGCGGGCTGCTAGATCTGCTTTGTTCCCACATAGCGCGATCACAATGCTCGGGTCTGCCTGCCTTTGCAGCTCCCGGATCCAGTTCCGTGCCTTCTCCAGTGAAGCAGCCTGCGTGATGTCATACACTACTACAGCGCAGTTGGCATTGCGGTAGTACATCGGCGCCTAAAGCGCAGCACATCAGTCAGACCAAGATCCAGAGATAGTGTCTGCTTTCACGTACCAGAGACTGGAGGGGCAGGGGATGGGCGTTAGTGGGGCGCAATAGCTATGGCAGAAACAGACACGGACCTTGTACCGTTCTTGTCCAGCCGTATCCCTAGAGAGCGAGTGAGCATTCCGTACACGTAGGAGACACATATATAGTGCACATACCAGATCTCGAACTTGACAGTGGTACCATCGTCAAGCGCGACAGTCTGTGTCAAGAAAGCAGCTGGTGCACACGTGAGATTAGCAGTCTCTAACACTCGAGAAAGATGGCGCGTACCTCCGATGGTGCTTTCCCGATAGTCGTCGAACTGGTCCTTGACGAATCGTAGGACAAGACTGCGGCCAGGGTAAGCGCTCGTTCAGCGTACTCGAGTTAGGATGGCGTCACCTGGACTTGCCAACAGCCGATTCGCCTATTTGGTGCGCTCATTAATAGGCAATTATATCGCAAGACATATATATTCACCGAGAAGGACGAGCTTGTACTGGAGCTGCTTGGACATGATGCGTGGAGACAAGGAGGGTGGCGGGCAGTGCAAGAGGCGCGCGCGTAGGTGCCGCCAGGATAACGTGCCTTCCCACGTGTTACGCGGCGCCGAACGGGCCTGTCACATCGTTTTCCGACAGAACACGGTTCTCCTTCGACCTTCATCTTCTTGTCTGCGCAGTGGTCTTCTTACGCCCGCTTCGGTCCCCCCGTCTGCGCTCGAAAGAGGGCATAAACTTGGAAGAGGAACTGTATCTCCCCATTATATTCTGAGCTTTTATCGTCGGCCAGCTATCCGCCGAGACGACCCACGTCACTCGAAAAGGCAGCCTCTGAGAAACTCGCGTTGAGCGACACGAAGAAAGCAGAGCACCAAGACAGCACATTTACTGAGCGATACCTTGAGAATGAGTCACCGCCACCACCCGTATGGAAGCGACGAGTTTGGTGGAGGCGGGTTCCGCCGTGGTAGAGGCGGTCCCGGCGGTGGGGGACCTGATAGATCCCACCACCACCACCACCATGAAGGCCATCACGGTCACGGAGGAAGAGGCTTTGGCGGTCGTGGTAGAGGCAGGGGCCGCGGGCGCGGTCGTGGCGGAGGAAGTTTCGACGGAGACGCCGGATTTGATGACAGTTACGGCGCCTACGATGGCCCGCCTCAGGGAGACTTGGGCTTCGATGCCTACGGTGGCGGAGGCGAATCCTTCGACCAAGCCGGTGCCTATGATAATTATGGGGGTGGCTTCGAAGGTACGCGTGAGCTCAAATCCGCTGCTAGCTGCGAATCGGAAATGCCGAATATTTCATGCGGAGAACCTGGAGAACGCAAAGTCCGAAGTGCCCTGCACAAAGCAGACGGTGACAGGAAGTAACTGCGCGCTCTTTACTTCTGCAAGATGGTCAAAGAGTCCTTCAGTGCACGGCTCATCCGAGTCCGAGATAATTCGCTTTACTTCATGAGGCGTTGTGTGCACGGTGTAGGTTGGCCTTACAGAGGTGGCCTTCTGGCGCTATGAGCGTATGCTATTGGACATCCGCGAGCGACCGTTGCATACTAGCAAATAGGGGCTATTCGCGCGGTTCGCACACGTTTTCGCCACCGACGTCTATCAACGTCGGCGGCACCGAGCGCAACGCTTCCGCGCTTCTCGAATGCTTATGTGGGGTTCTAATTTCAACATATCTTCGTTCTTCTCCCATTGTATCGAGTCAGAGTCATAAAACTCAATAAATCCTCGTTTAGATGCTGAGGACGACTACGGCGGTGGCTTTAGAGGCCGCCGAGGGCGCGGACGTGGGCGCGGGCGAGGAAGAGGCGGCGATCGCGGTGGCTGGCATGATCGTGAAGACCGTGAACACGAGCAAGTTATCGAGGAGCGTATACAGCGCGAGAGACCGTGTAGGACCTTGTTCATCCGCAATATCAAGGCGAGTTTACCTCTGAAGGGCGATGGGAGTGGCTTGTGGCCGTT